GAAGCCAGCCTCAGAAAACTGCTTGCCTCCAAGGCCCTCCTGCACCCAGTCCCCTTGGCACGTGTGGGCTCCCCGTGAGGCAGATGGGCTTGATGCCGAGACCACCACCCAGAGGTGGTGTTTCTTCTGCAGGGATCAGCCAGGCCAGCTCTGAGCATCCTCCTCAAGGGCCCTACCTGTTGCTGCTGCCTGCCTGCCATGCTTCGCTCTCTGGCTAGAGCCACGTGCCAGGGCCTGGGTGAGGCTCCCCTGGGCACTGTGTGGTCCCAGCCAAGACCACCAACTAGCCACAGGTGTGCAAGTGAGCCATCTGGTTGAGCAGCAGTGACAGCCTGCTCATGAAAATTCAAATCCACCGGTAGCTCCAGAGAAACAGGTGGCCTTCTGCTTCCACACCAGCCAACTGCCTCGGAGACCCTGTGGGGCAGCCCCGTCCTGTCGTGTAGGGTGACTGGGAGTCAGGACAGGCTCCGTGGGGGCCCAGCCCTTCAGAAATAACTAAGTGCTGTTGGTATAAGTCATTGATCGGGAGGCACTTGTGAGCATGAGCTGCTTCGACCTGCTTCCTAGGGCCCTGCCTCATGCAGCCGGCTCATGGTGGGGGCCCCAGGCCAGACTGAGGGCTGGGGCTTGTCTGGTTCTGCTGGCTGGCAGCACCATGGCTCAGATGTCAGGCCGGGGAGTGGGGGGAGCATCTCTCCTAAGGCCACCTGTGGTCATTACATATGTTGTCAACTTGAGACTTAAGAGTGAAGTGTGGAGTTTAGCCTGTCAATCAGGTCGCAGTGATGACCTCATTGGGAGGCTCCATGGAGAGAAACAGCCGCCTGGAGGTCAGACGGACTCTCTGCTTCCTCTTCCTGCGGACAAGACACATGGAGCTGTGCTGGAGGAGCCACGTGGAGACCCACGCAGCACAGATGCATCACTGCCACTGGATCCACAAGACTTTCCACCCACTGGCCTGTGATCTTCCTGCATTCGGCGCCATTGCACGTGTTGCGTGAGTCTGAAGAGGCATTTATTGCTTGGTATCGGGCATGTGGCCTAATATCAGACTTCTGGACTAGATCTGGGCTGAGGTGTTTCTCAGTACACAATAGCTCTTTGATATAAAGCTCTCTCTTACACACAAGAGTGTCTATGAATTTGTTTCTCTAGTCAACCCAGACTGACACACTACCGCAAACCCAGAGAGAGCCCCTTCCACAGCATGCGGCCCCAGAGCAGAGCTGCCGTCCCAACAGCAGCAGGCAGCCAGGCCTATCTTCCTGGGCACTGCTGGCGGGCTCGAGCCGCCCCTTTCCAGGGGAGTGGTCACGTGTAGGCCACATGCAGTGCCACGTGGAGCCTGTCATTAGATGCATGGACGTACATGCATGTTTACTCCCACGTCCACGGGCCCCCGCCGGCAAAGCCAGTGGTTCCAAAGCACCAGCAGCTTCAAGGGAGAGAGACGAGGCTTTCTTCCACCGGGAGGAGGCACTGTCTCTGGCTGTTGAGCAGAGAATGTTCTGTGGTGTCTATTTTTGCCAGAACTAAAGAAAAATAATTAAGTGTGGTACCGCTAACTGCGAGGCCCTGTCCCCACAGTCACCGCAGGGACACCCACAGGGTTGCTGTGTGGCACAGGGTCAGGTCTGGTTTACCGGTGGCAGAGCGGTGCTGCCCAGCCCAGCCCAGCCCTGTCCTCACGCTCGCTGGGTATGGGGCCGTCCACTCAGCAGGGACGTGTCCTTTCTGCCAGCTCAGGGCCGTTGCTGAGCAGGTGTCCGGAGCCCACGGGTTGAGCTCACATAAGGACCTGTGTGAAGGCCCTTAGTGGCACCCTGAGCTATGAGATGAAGCTTCCCTTCTCAGAGGCTGTGGTGGCCCGGTGGTTAAAGCACTCTGTTGCTAACAGAACCCCCAGCTGCTGCTCCGGGAGAGAGCTGCAGCTGTCGGCTTCAGTCTCCGGAGCCCCGCACGGCTGGTGGGCTCTGCCCTGAGGGCCACTGTGTATCAGGACTGGCCAGTGATGGGTTCTTAGCCACCCACTTTGCAGCCCTGGCTAGGGGGAAGGCAAGCCTCTCAGAGGGCTGGTCTGGACACACTGTGGGGACGGGGGGTACCCTGGCCACCAGGACGATCTCCTGCTGTGTCCAGCCCTGCCTGCCTCGGCCCCTCACCCTCCTGGGGCATCACTGCAGGGGCTTCGGGAGCTATAACAATACCAAAGGGCAGGGCAGGGCCGGGCCACTGGCTGGGCAGGACAGCCTGGTGGTTTCCCACAGACACAACACATCGGCCTCTCAGCCTTCAGGGGCCCCTGGTGCTCGTCACTTCCCGTCATCCCTCCATCCATGGCACGCTCGGAGCCCGTGAGGCAGGCAGGAGCTTGGCACCTCTTGGGATGGAGGTGAAAGGGCAGCCGCAGGCCCAGGCCCTCCTTGGAGGCAGCCACACAGCACCAAGCTGGCCTTCTTAAGGTTCTGTCTCATCTCCTGACCCCCCGCCTGTCCAGCTCAGCCAAAACGGTGGCTTTGGACTGGTGACGCCCTGTCTGTCCACACTGTGGGTCAGCTTTACGGCCACAAAGCCCGGCCCTGACACAGGGTGACTGTGCACCCAGGCCGTCCCATGTCGGATTCTTGTGGTCTGGCCTTTCCTCCTGCTCTGCCTGGTCTCAGAGCTCTGCTGCAACCCGCGAGCCTCCACTGACAGACGGGGTGTGTGTGTGCAGGTGTGTCATTCAGAACACTCACAGTCGCTGAGCCAATTCTGACGCATGGGAAACCTGCGGGCAGAGTCGCCCTGCCTCTGCGGGTGTCCACTGCTGGACATCTTTACAGGAGCAGACAGCCTCACCCTTCTCCCTTGGAGTGGCTGGTGGTTTCGAACCGCTGGCTCTGTGCTTAGCAGCCCAGCAAGTGACCCACAGGGCTCCTCCTGTGCAAGTGGTGCAGTGGCTGGGAACCGAGACCACACCTCTCGCGTGGAGGGTGGGGGCCTCTGCAGTGATGGTCACTCCGGGCAGTGCAGAGACAGCGCTGGGACA